AGGTAAGAACTTGATAACAGGTGTCAGTTGTATATTGATCTGAGGAAATTCGGGTTGAGTGTTAATTCATCAATCTTATCCCAGTGTAGAGACAGTTGGTTGGTGCATTGGTGTACACAACACACATATATTTATTGTTGATCATCACATACTGTACAAAACAACAACTCAATATTTTCTGATCAAGTAATTTGTCTGTTTGAGGTTCCTATACCCTTAGTGTTATCATACTACTAATATCTGTCTGCTTTAATTAAACAGTTATTTAATTTAATTATAAACCTAGTACAATTTAATTAGGTTGAATTAAACAAGAGTAAACAAACAATTAAACCAGTATTTAAAATATTGTAAATATTAGATAATCTAAAGGTAAAAGTACAATTTAAAACCAGCAAACAGTTTAAAGATGTGATAAACAACTTGTCTGTGTGTGTGTGTGTTTGTGTGTTGAACAAACGCTACGGTTTCTTTGCATTGCTGCTACACGGCGGTTTCTTGCATGTATCACTATTGAGTCTCTGACTTATTTTCATTGATATATGAATTTGTATTTGTGTTGTTTATTTGTGGTCATCATGGCAAGTATGACTCAAGATGAGATGTCTGATTTATCAGATATAATGAAAGAATTAGAGATTAAGCCTGAGAGTGGTAGCTCAGCAGAATTTAAACATTGGGTATTGCAATATGCAGAGAAATTGAAAAGTGAATCACCCAGTCTGTCTGCAAATCCTTCTCAGCAAGTCAGTTTCCCTCCCCAGCCCAGTTTCGTAACCCCAGCCCAGTCCCAACCTAAACAAGGCCCATCATCCCACCCATCTACTCCTCCCAATACTTCAGCCCATGCATCCACCCAACCCAATCCACTATCACATATCCCTCTTAGTGGTGTCCCTAAAATTTCAATATTTTCGGGTGACAAAAAGTGTGATATACTGTATGATCAGTGGAAGTATGAAGTTGAATGTTTACAAGTAGATGGGTATGCTGACAATATTATTTGTTTAGCTATGCGTCGATCATTACGAGGATCAGCAAGTAGAGTGTTGATGAGGTTAGGACCTAATGCATCAGTGGATGAAATATTGTACAAGCTGGATAGCATCTATGGTTTAGTTGAGGAGAAGGAGTCTTTGCTGGCAAATTTTTACAGTGCCAAACAGCAGGAAAATGAAGATGTATCTGCCTGGGGATGCAGGTTAGAAGACTTGTTATCAAAAGCTCTCATACAAGGACTAGTGAATCCAGATGATGAGAATGATATGTTGAGAAACATGTTTTGGTCAGGGATGAGAACCAGTTTAAAGGACATATCTGGTCATCTCTATGATAAGTACCCAGAATTTGACGATTTAAGGAGAGCTATGAGGATATTGGAGCAAGACAGAGAGAAAAGGAAAAGCGAGTCAGACAAACAAAATAAACCTATACCAGCGAAAAGAACAAATGTGGAAAAGAAATCAAATGAAACTGAGGAATTGATTACCACCGTGAACAGATTATCTACAGAATTAGAAGCCTTAAAAAGAGAAAGAGCAAATGATCAACATCAGAGTAGAAGTATAGTACGAGGAAATTACACACCAAGATACAGAGGCCCTCACAGATTCAGAAGGCCAATGTATAACAGATTCCAGTATCAACAAACACCTTTGACACCAGAATTTGTAAACCAAAGTACATCTTATAGACCACAAGGAGAAACACCAGTATGCTGGAAATGTGGTCAGCAGGGTCATTTACAGATAGGATGCAGAGTCAGAGGTGATTATATGAAGAGGGGATATTTAAACGCATATCGACCTTCGCCAAGGGGCAAACGATAGGTCAGAGTATGCAGAGCCCCAACAGATTACCAAAGTTAATCGGAGAATCAGCAGAAACTGAAATTATTATATCTGGAGAAATAACAACGAAAGCTCTTATCGACACTGGATCTACTGTATCAACAACTTCCCAGTCATTTTATGAAAACTTTTTACAAGGACAAACCATCCATCCTATTGAAGATTTCATCAATATTGAATGTACTGATGGAAATATTTTGACATACTCAGGATACATTGAACTGGAAATTAAACCATTAGGAATTCCAGACAGTCTACCACAGCCATGCTTATTTTTGATAGTTCCAGATTCCAACTACAGTAACAGAGTTCCAGTACTACTTGGTACCAATATCATCAAAGTATTACTAGAGAATACACATGTACAAAATGGAGAAAGATTTCTACAAGAAACAGCCCTAACAACACCATGGTTTTTAGCCTTTAGAAGTCTGCAACTTAGAGAAAAGGAACTGATTAGGCAGAATTTCAGGCTAGCTGTTATTAAGTCATCAGAACGTACCATCATGCCACCAAACAGCCAAGTAGTTATAACAGGATTTACAGATAAGAAGGTACCATACCAGAGCACATGCGCATTACTACAAGCCACTAGTTACTCCAGAATTCCCGAAGACCTAGATATAGAACCAACAATTGCTTCATATAACTATAACGAACGACAGGAAATTCCAGTCCACATAAGCAATTTAACTACAAGAACAGTGACCATCAATCCCAGAGAAATCATATGTGAGTTACATCCAGTGGCTATTATTGACAAAACAACTCAGCTTAGACAAGAAGACTATTCATACTTACAAGAGGTTAAAATATCATCAGAAGATTTAACCCAAGAACAACAAGAGAAAATTCAACAATTACTACAAGATTATAGAGACATATTTTCAAAGAATGATACAGATATTGGATTCAACAACACTGTGAGACACAGAATTGATCTACTAGACCAGACACCATTCAAACAAAGAACAAGAAGAATTCCACCAGCCATGTTTGAGGAAATAAGAAACCATCTACAAATGCTTTTGGATTCAGGGGTGATAAGAAAATCCAGTTCACCATTTTCCAGCAATGTTGTTATATGTCGGAAGAAAGATGGCAAGTTACGGATGTGTATTGATTACCGTCAACTAAATCAACGCACCAAGAAAGACGCATATGCCCTACCAAGAATCGATGAAATTCTGAATGCCCTTTCCGGAAACAAGTACTTCTCGGTGTTGGACATGAAGTCAGGGTACCACCAGGTTGAAATTCTAGAGAAACACAAAGAACGTACAGCTTTCACTGTAGGACCGTTAGGCTTTTACGAATTTAATCGTCTTCCTTTCGGATTATCCAATAGCCCTGCTACTTATCAACGACTCATGGAAAATTGCTTAGGAGATCTTCATTTGAACATTTGTTTTATTTTCTTAGATGATTTGATCGTATTTTCCAATTCTTATGAGGAACATATCCAAAGATTGCAGTTGGTATTCGACAAACTTCGAGAAGCAGGATTAAAGTTGTCTCCGAAGAAATGTAGTCTCTTTATGAAGAAAGTGAAATATGTAGGTCACATTGTGTCAGAGGAGGGCATTGGAACCGACCCAGAAAAAGTTAAGAAAGTTTTAGATTGGCCAACACCTCGTTCTCCAGAAGAAATCAGAAAATTTATTGGATTTATTGGATACTACAGAAAATTTATACCAAATTTCAGCAAAATTTCTAAACCGTTAACTGAACTTATGCCTAAAACCAACAGTAAATGTACCAAGGACAAGATGCGTAAACAAGCAAGAAAGGAATTCATATGGAAACAAGAACAGGAAGAAGCTTTCAACCATCTCAAGAAACTCTTGACTTCTCCAATTTTAGGATTTGCTGATTATAACCTGCCCTTTGAATTACATACAGATGCCAGTCAATCAGGATTAGGAGCAGTGTTATACCAAGAGCAACATGGTCAAAAGAGAGTCATCAGTTTTGCAAGTCGCAGTTTGAGTCCTACCGAAAGAAATTACCCAGCACATAAATTAGAATTCCTGGCTTTAAAGTGGGCAATCACAGAAAAGTTTAATGATTATTTGTACGGACACAAATTTACAGTTCTAACAGACAATAACCCACTGACATACGTCTTGACGACTGCACGACTTGACGCTGCAGGACATAGGTGGCTGGCAGCATTATCTGCCTATGACTTTGACATTATTTACAGGCCAGGGAAGCAGAACCAAGATGCTGACGCATTATCAAGAAGACCAAATTCTAATGACAAATTTCAGTCTATTTCTAGGGATTCTATTAGAGCAGTGTGTCAGGCGGTACATTCAGGTCCATTCATAACATCTTTTTCTGTAGATTCAACAGTTATAGACAAGAACATGTCAGCGCAAAAGATTATTGACCAAGAGATGAATTGGCATGAGGAACAGAGTTCAGATCCAACTCTTAAAACATGGATTTATTTTGTTAGACGCAAACAGAAACCAAGACTGGAAGACTTACCGTTTGGATTTGAATCACAAGCATTGGTAAGAAATTTTAATAAACTTCATTTATTTAACAACATTCTTTTCAGGGAAACAACAGTTGCAGAGAAATTAAATCAACAATTAGTTCTGCCAAGAAAATTCAAGGACAAAGTCTTATCAGAACTTCATGATAAATTTGGACATCCAGGACGCGAAAGAACAGCAGCACTTATTAAGGACAGATTCTACTGGGCAGGAATGAATCAGGATATAGACAACTGGATTAAGAACTGCAACAGATGCGTACACAGAAAAGCTACCAATCAGAGAGCACCACTTGTCAGTATTACATCATCATATCCTTTAGAGTTGGTGTGTATGGATTTCCTTACCTTGGAAATGAGTAAAGGAGGATTCCAGCATATACTAGTCATCACAGATCACTACACCAGATTTGCCCAAGCTATACCAACAAGGAATATGACTGCGAAAACAACTGCAGAGGCATTATTTAACAACTTCATTAATTATTATGGAATTCCCAGTAGAATACATTCGGATCAGGGTGCAAACTTCGAAAGTCAGATTATCAAGGAGCTTTGTAAAATTACAGGAATGAAGAAATCAAGGTCAACATCTTGCAATGGGGAATGGGCTGTGTGAAAGATACAACAGAACACTACTTGATATGTTAGGCACATTGAAACCATCACAAAAGCAGAATTGGAAATTATACATCAATCCCCTTGTACATGCTTATAACTGCACCAGAAATGAGTCAACAGGAATATCACCCTATTATCTTATGTTCGGCAGAAACCCTAGATTGCCTATAGATGAGGAATTTGGAATCAAGAAAACAGAATGGAAGTCAACTTCAAAGTATATCAATGACCTGAAAGAGAATATGAAGGCAGCATATGAATTAGTCAACAAGAATACAAAGAGAGCTCAAGAGAAACAGAAAGGAGGGTATGACCAGAGAGTAAGAGGAGCGGAGATCCAGACAGGTGACAGGGTGTTAGTTAAAATCGTATCTTTTGACGGGAAACATAAAATTTCCGATAAATGGGAAGAAGAACCTTATATAGTCTTAGACCAACCAGATCCAAACATTCCAGTATTTCAGATCCAAGAAGAGACAACCAAGGGTAAAATAAGAACACTACATAGAAATCTACTTCTCCCAATAAGTCAGCTGAACAATTACAAAACTCATGAAGAACTCGAGAAGGTAAAAGAAATTCCTAAACCGAGGCCTAGACCCAGAACAAGACAACAGAGTAAAGAGAAAGAGGATATTCATGAAGTTATATCCCATAGGGATGAGGAAAGCAGTTCAGATGAAGAAATGGAAGTAGTATATGTACCGGTACAGATGGAAGAAGAAGAGCATCATGATGCAGGTAATGTTGAGGGTAAGGAGAGAACACAGGAACCTAATGCAGAGATTCCAGAGGAACAGCATCAGCAGCAGAATGCTGAAGTAATTCCTAGAGAGGGACAGCAGCAGGAGAATGCTGAGGTAGAGATTGCACATGAGCAGCATCAGCAGCAAGATGCAGAAGTAGATCATGTGGATGGAGATGATAGCATGAGGTCAGAGGAAGATAGACAGATACCAAGAAGAAGTGGAAGGGAGAGGAGAAAACCTGCTTGGATGAGCAACCAGGAATATGTGTTTACCCAACAACATTCACTAGAATGGATGAAGAAATGTGAATTTCTACATGACTTGATGAAGTCCCAGGAAATGAAAAAATATGAAGACAAAATTGTGCAAACAATGCTTGATATTTTAAAGAATAATTAATTTGATTTTATTTGTATATATTTCAGATGCAGTGAAGCGTGAATGCAGTATTTTGTAAGAATAGTGTTGCTGCATGTAACCAGGTAATAGCCCATTAGGGAAATGACAGGGACGTCATTTACTAATGGGGGGGGGAGTCTGTAGTAGATGTATATTTTATTAGATAATTTAATAAATGATAAATAAATAAAATAAATTTAAGATAGTTAAATGAATTAAAATCTAAAGTCTTTCTATTACTAATAAGGTATTAAGTGTTACCATCCATCCCTCTTGATCCACCTATACATTTCATACACACATTCATTCATTTCATTGGTCAAGGGTTTTACATTGTCTAGTGAGTGATATTTACTCAGTTTGAAAGATCTCAGAGTTTCAGACATGTAGAGAACTAGATCTGGTGAATTATTGTATTATTTTGAAATCTTACTGACTTCCTGACTTAAACAATACAGAAACATGTAAGTACTAATATTTTAACATTTTAATCTATATTAGAATATGAATTATGATTCACATAAGAAACTAAGAATTTGATACTTTATAAAACTATGTATATAGAATATTTTATGTCTAGATCAGATGTGGATAAATCTGATAATTTCATATGAGTTAATATATTCAGATCCTATTAAATGTATATAAGTATATATTGGTGTAAATACAGAGTTATTGTAAAGAGCATATCTTTAGGAATTTATTTATTATTAATATAGTGTAACACCATATCTGAAAAGATCCACACAGTATGTCAGATGGACTTGGTTCCACAAACCGGTATGCATTACTATTTTATTATTTTGGTTGTATATGAAAGATAACTCTTCACGATGTTGGAAAGTTTATTTAGCTTGTAAGAGTTATTGCCCTTTGTACATATAAAGTGTAACAACATTCCATAGAGTGAAATATTCATTTATGACACTATTTGAATAATGACTCTTATGTATATCTACTATTATATTTTTTTGTACCATTCTAATGTTATTGTATATTTTATATTAATTTCAGAGCCATATAATTATTGATATAAAAGAAATTATCAGAAAGTTCTTCAAATTATTATTGCCGGGATTCCCGTTACATTATCATATTTCTTCAGCATGTGGGCCTTTTTCTAAATATGCTTCTAAAATATGTTGGATTTTAAGAAATATTGTAAAAAGTGAATTTTATGAAATGCCTTATGATAAATTGAAATTCAGTACCTTTAATAAATCCTGTATAATTTTATCCTTATGGTAATCATCAACCATTTTGTATGTACTTTTCAGGAAAAAAAATTATTTATGGTATCTTCATCAAAAAAGATCTGTTCCTGTGTTCAATTATAGCTAAATTCACAATATTTTCAATTTTTTGCTTGGTTGTCATGTACGTTTACATGGTGCATTGTTTCCATGGCAACAAAGGTTGGCCAAAAAAATTATGCTGTCCAATGATGTTCCCTTGGTCCATGAAGCAACATATTAAAATTTTGTAAAGATCTGAAATGGTCATGAATCACCCCCTGCCTGGTTCTTACAAATAGCTGTACTTAAGCAAAAATATGTAGAAAATAGGGTATTTTCACGACATTCAATTTGAAATCATATGAAAAGTAAACCGGATACCTATATTAAATTTGATGTTAATTTAAAGAAGAGGACATGAACATACTAATTTCCGTTTTCTGAGAGACTGTAGGCAATCTGGATACATTTCCTATGTCGAATATGAGAAAAACTCCCATATTCATGACTGGTTTTCTTAATTTTTCATTGAAAATGACAGTTTAAAATACAGTTTTTCATCTTGTTTATCTGCAAATTATGCCATGAAACACCTCATTTGACCAAGCTAAAGTTGTAAAGCATCAATAAAGGGATTTATTTCTCAAATTTCATAAATCTGTAGGCACCTTTCATTTACTAGATCTTGACCTTAAGTCACAATCTTTAAATTTCTAAAGTCAAGGAGACCAATCCTTGAATATTCCTTTAAAATTACTTGATGAAAACGTTATCTGCAAAAGAGATGAATTCAATAACTAGTAAACATTTTACAGGCGATTGAAAATTTGAAAAATTTGACAATAAGTCTAAGTCTTGATGCAGGATTTTATTTACCGATTGAGATACTGGCATTTCAAGGTTACATGGTAACACTCCTGGAAAATCAGTACTTTTCAGAAGGAAAATCATAGAACATCAACGTAGACGACTTCAGGATTGATTTATTTTGAATTCTTGAAGACAGTTGCATATTACAATAACACATTTATAATCTACTCTTAAAACGAGAATTTGCACAACAAATACCAGAGCAAGAACATTAAAAATAAACAGACATAAGTTATAGTCATAAGAGATAAAAATTATATAAATACTGCATGTAGTTGATAAAACATTAAAAAAAAAACATTTTCACCCCAAGAAAATAAACAATTTTCAATCTCGGCTGCTTCTCTCTTGACAACGGTTTCCTTTGCGTGAAAATGTTCGATGTAACCTTCAACTACATGCTGTATTTTATTATGTACTGAAAAATTTTAACAAATAAATTTACAACTGAACCGTATGCGCATACATTCTGCACAGTCTATTCACCCGTCTTCAAGCGATGTTGCGTGTTGCTACACAGCAGGACGTGGTTTCATCATTCAGAGATTATTTTTTTAAAGATCCTCAATGCATTAGATTCACCTTATATGAATGAAAGTATAATATGACATTAAAATGCCTTTATATCAATCTTCAAAATGAAAAATCAAATTAAGTTATTATTATTATTTTCATCAACAAGTTTGTAAATGAAAATTGTGAACAAATGCTACAGTTAGCGAATTACAGGGTATCAGCACTTGGTTTATCTTATGAAGCCTATAACATCTTTTTGATGAAAATAAATTCTTATCATTGACTTTTTTTTACATCGATAAATCTATATATGAGTAAATGCGTTAAATGTTTAATTATTTCAATTTTTCTAATTATTTATTTTGCTTTGAAGACAGCCTGAAATAAAAATCATGCATCCAACTTTTTCACCTTTAAATATCGTGATGTGTTTTCCTTGTATGGATGCTTTTAAATATTGTGAAAGATTTTTTTTTATATTTTTAATTTTGTTTGCGGCCGATTTGATGCTTTGCATTAATTTTACTTGTTGGTAGATATTGATGCAGAATAAATATGATGAAGGCTCGTCTGCAAAAATGCACTCTTACTACAATGGAATCTGATTTCTGAAGAAATCTTTTGTATCTTAAATATATGCATTACATTTTAAGTTATATTCTAGGATCCTCTATACCCCCAAGCTGTCGTGGCTACTTGGGGTACAAGACTGACAGTCTCTATTGTCATACTGTTCAATAGGCACCGTCCCTTGGTGCCCCAAGTAGTCAGGCCT